TCTGAGTCTGTTTCCTTTTGTATAAAAAAGCAAGGATGAATACTTTCTTTCCTTTCTTGCAGCATGATTGTAAGGATTAATTAGGATCATGTATTTAAAATACTTTGCCTAGTCCTTAACACATATTGAGCACTGAGGAAGTGTCAGCTAGTTCTACTACTAGATAAAGTATAAAACGTTCAGGGGAGTTCATAAAGTGTATGGCAGAAAATTCTCATTTGAAAATAGGCAAGTTTGGGAATCATGTGAGGATGGTCATTGTGTATAGGAGGGAGTGATTCTTTTATTTATTTTATTTATTTATTTATTTTTGGCTTTTTGAGACAGGGTTTCTCTGTGTAGCTTTGGAGCCTGTCCTGGAACTCCCTCTGTAGACCACGCTAGCCTTGAACTCACAGAGATCCACCTGCCTCTGCCTCCCGAGTGCTGGGATTAAAGGCGTGCTGCACCACCACCACCACCACCACCACCACCACCACCACCACCACCACCACCACCACCACCACCGGCTAGGAAGGATTCTTTCTAAATAAAGGGAGGGAAAAAACCTAAATACTTCTTTAATGGAAAGAGAAATTAAGAGATACATTTGAATTACTGAGGGATGAGATTCGCAAATATATTGCTGTTTTTATTTCATGTGACCTGAGTAGAATCACAATTTCCTAACACCAGAACAGAGCAGAGGAGCAGAGCATCTTGGGTGACTTAGGTAATCTTGCCTAGGGGTAAGGAAGGTGAACTACATGACCTCCTGGATTCTTTTGCTATCTGTGCTCTATCTGACACAGGTACTAATTAGTAGAAGTAACTATCAGTGTAGATCTTAGTGATCTTACCAAGTAGCTTCAGAAAGAATACATTCTTCAAATACTACGCTCACATGTCTCATGAGAAATTCAAAAAAGCAATGGTAACTAATAACTTTACTTGGAAATTATATTTTTTTTTTTTTCGAGACAGGGTTTCTCTGTGTAGCTTTGAGCCTTTTTCCTGGAACTCACTTGGTAGCCCAGGCTGGCCTCGAACTCACAGAGATCCGCCTGGCTCTGCCTCCCGAGTGCTGGGATTAAAGGCGTGCGCCACCACCGCCCGGCCTATATTTTTTTTCTATATGGCTGGACAATTAAGGATAAATTTTACAGGTGAGTGTAGCATATACCTATAATAACCCAACACCTGGGAAGAGTCGTCAGGAGGATTAGGAACCAAGCTCATCCTCAACTACACAGTGCAGTCTGAAGTCTGCCTGGGACACAGGAGACCCTGACCCAAAAACAACAAAAACATATCTGGCACAGGGTTCAGGTGTGATGTCTTTGTATGTCTTCAATGAGAACTGGAAGTCATTGTGGAAAAATAACTAAACTACAAAAACAGTTTTGTCTTTTTCTCGCCATACATCCTGGGCCTTAACTGTATATTTAAGATAATGGAAAAGAGATGAACATGTTCACACAAAATAGCTTTCCCTCTGATCCTTGAAGCTGATATGAAAGTGATGAAAGTTAACTGCCTATGGCTGCCAGGAATCACATCCCTGCACCTCTTGCTCTCCGGAGCATTCCCACCTTTGCAAGACTCCCATCCAGCCACCTGCACCTGTTCACCTCAAGTCTTGAGTCTGCCCCTCTTCCGTGGGGCAAATAACACCTTTGGAAATGACATCAGGCACTGACTGAAATCTGCCACAAATGCACTCAGGAGCCTGGGCTCCTGCTTTTGATGGTTTTCAGTGGGTATTCATAAGCCTTTTCATCTCAAAATGCACATGAACTGAAGCCAGGGCAAAAAGGCTCACGGGATCAAATGCATTAAAAAGCTGACCAGGGACGCCAGTTACTTGGTTTATATGTAGTTTAGATATATAAAACTCTTCATTTTTTATTCTTTCCTATTTGACTTGTGGTCCTTTTATTGTTTAGACAAATCTACACTGGGAAAAGTAAAGAAAACTAAAATCAAGAATTTTAGTTACTTGGCAGTACCTCATTAAAAAGAAAACAATTTAAGCAAAGAAGGAAACTGAAAGCTAAAGTTATTTCAGGGCCTGGAGAGAAAGTTCAGCAGTTAAGAGCATATACTGCTTTTGCACAAGACCCAAGTTCTGCTCCCAGCATGCATATCATAACAGCCTATATATAATTCCTGCACCAACGAATCCAACGTCTTCTGTCTTCCATGGGTAACTGCATTCATATGCACATACCCCTACACAGATGTAAACATACACATAGTTAAAAATAAGTACTAGGGGAAAATTTAAGGGGCCATCAAGGTGACTTAGTAGTTAAGGGCACTTGTTGCTCTTTCAGAGGATCCACATTCTCAGTATCTACATGGCAGCTCCAATATTGGGGGAATCTGACAGCCTCTTCTGGACTCCATGGGCCCCAGGCACGAATACAGTACACATACATACATACACACAAGCAGGCAAACACTCATGCACATAAAATAAAAACAAAAATAATTAATTTTTAAAAGGTTATTCCAAAGCGAAACATAAACGCTGCTCTCCAATTCACTGTATAAGTAATTTAAATTCTAACATTTTGGATGAAGGAAGAAGAAAACAGTCTAAGCTATGATACACTCCTCTTTTGTAACTATTCCACAATTCAAGATGCCCATGGTGTCAATTAGCTTTTCAAACAAATCCTAGCTCTTAGTGAGTTAGTGCTTGGCAACAGTGTACAAGCTTGAGAAGTGTTCCTATCAGTGACCCATCCCACCAGCCTATGGGAAATCTTTCTACCTCTTATAATAATTTTGTCATTGATGTTTAGTATGTGATGATAAAACAGTATCTACTGATAGGTGGCAAAAAGACAAGTAAGTTAATGACTTGTCTAAGGTAACATTAATGTGTCTGTGGTAATTATCCAGAAAAAAAAGGCCATAGGGCTGGAGGAGTAGCTTTGAAGGAAAGCACATGTTTAGCATCTTTGAGGCCATGGTTCAATCTCAAGCACCAAAACATATTTGATGTCATGACTTGTCTGCCTCGCATGCTTTCTTTCGTAAGTCTTCAATGACATTAGCAGGATCTTACTTTTATCTGTAAGGAGTAACTACAGAGGTGGCTACCGTTTATCAAGTCTTAAGTATGTGCTGAGCACCATACTTAGTCCTGTATGTTCTCTTTCAATCCTAATAGTAACTCTGCGGGGCAAGTATGCTCATTATCCCTTGAACAAGAATACATGGCTAGGGAAGGAAAGAACATATTCAGGGTCACCCAGTTAGTGACAGAGCTGAGACCCAAGCCCAAGTCTATTACGATTTCTGGGCGTTTAACCCTCAATATTATTCCACTCACTAGATCAAGGAGTTATATATAGCACACTATACCTGGGGGGAAATTAACACCCTACTTTATAACATTCAAAACAAAACAGTAATAGTAATTCTATTAGTAAATTAGATTAGTAAATTCTAATAGTAAAACTTGTATCAAATTCTGGTATTTTATTTACAAACAGGTTCAAATGCATTGAATCTTGATTGACTATAGCAGCAATGACAGATGTGTACTTCTGCTTCACGTAACATGCAAAAAGAAAGCATTGAGTTTCATAATACTATTTCACTATCAGGGGCCAATACCATACCTGGTCTGATTACAGGAGGCATGTTAAGTGGTACAAGCTCTAACACATCAAGAACAGGAAGGGTTTTTACATATAATGACAAGGAAAAAATGAAGCAATAAGGTTTACAACACTACTTTCAAGTAAATAGCATTCTCTTGTTGCATCTGAATTTGTTTTAAGGACCAGGAAATAAAAACACAGGTGTTCTGTTTCTTAAAAAAATCAGAGCCATGGCCGGGCGGTGGTGGCACACGCCTTTAATCCCAGCGCTCGGGAAGAAGAAACAGGCGGATCTCTGTGAGTTCAAGGCCAGTGTGGTCTACAGAGTGAGTTCCAGGAAAGGCGCAAAGCTACACAGAGAAACCCTGTCTCGAAACACCAAAAGAAAAAAAAAATCAGAGCCAGGCGGTGGTGGTGCATGCCTTTAATCCCAGCACTCGGGAGGCAGAGGAAGGTGGATCTCTGTGAGTTCGAGCCCAGCCTGGTCTACAGAGATCCAGGACAGGCACCAAAACTACACAGAGAAACACTGTCTCAAAAAACAAAAACAACAAAAAAAACCAGCACACTACAGTTATGAAGTAATGTAAATCCACTAAAGGAAAAAAAATCACATTTAAAAAAAAAAGATCTTTTCTATTATTACATACAGTTTAGGGCTGGAATGATAACATATGTTCACAGTTAAGATCTTACTACAACAATGGATATAATTTCAACAAAAAGCTCAAGCAAGAGAAACAACCAAATGAAAAGAAATCTATCCATTAAATGTTGCGTGGTAAGTCATGTGTTGTAAATACCAATGGAGATGACACTACTTTTCCCAAGGAGCAATATAACATCTTGCCAATCTGGTTATTGGTGGTGAAGATAACTACAGGAACATAACTCTAGCGCAGCTTCGGAAAAACTCCTGGAAAATTCACCAAAAGTTATCCAAAGTCATAAATGCTGTGTCACAGAGCCAAAGCACAGAACAATATTTTGTTAGCAAGAGTTATCATTTTCCTGCTGAGGAGGCACTGTCATCTTAGTTTGTGATGACCCACACTAATTTTATGATGAAAAAGGAAGACATACCAGAATTATGAAAAATACATTTGAGTGAAGTTTTTAAACATGACACATGCAAATTAAGCAAATTATTTGTTTTGTAAGTGATCACAGCCTTTAAGATTTTCCTTTTGAGAAGAAATATTTCAATAGTACAGATACTGATTCACTCCTCTTTCTTGAGTTGTAAACAAATCAAGCTTTGGATTTTACTGGCTAGAAAATAAAAAAGAACCCACAATTTAAAATTATATAAAATTTGCAAAGTATACACTTTAAAATAAGTAATTTCCTTCTTTGTGAGTTTAAAATAATTTTTATGTTCAAGAGGCACAAATACCAACTTACCAGCTTTGTGCCCCTTTTAATTTCCTTTTGGACATCTTCAATAGAAAATCCACCAAGACTCTCATTATCGGAATGTGATGACACCAAGGCCGACGAAAAAAGCTATAAATAACATTTGAAATCATTAGGGTTTATACATAACTACATTAAGACAATGAATAAGACATTAAACTTAAAAATGAATTTTCTATTAAAATGACATTGCATAGTGTGAAAGCATTTCTTCAAATTTTAACAGCATTTTTTGCCTTCATATTCAGTAATACTAATGTGTTACTGAGATTCTCTCTCAGGAATGGTTTTGAGGTCTCTCCATCGATGCCAACATACTCACCATGCATTTATGGTGTGCTGCCACCTTCTGGTTTTCAGATATCAGTAACTGTCCACACTCCTTGTCTCTATTTGACTTACAAAAGCCGCATTTGCGCTGTCTTGTAGACCCTTTTTTCTGTTCAATTGAGCTTGACATGATTGTTAAACTGCTTATAGAATGCCACTTTAAGCCTCAAGAAATGCTACAGAGAAGAAGAATGGCAACAAAATGGTTAATTTCATTTAAAAATTATACATTTGCATGCAAGTAGTTTAATGTCTGACCTAGGTTTTAATAGAGTTACTTAAACATTAGTATAGATAAATACTAAAACCCAAGATGCCTTCCAGATATAATACATATTAAGAGAGGGAAGTAGAAAATGAAATCAAGTCTAGAGTGAGAGAAATCAAAATGAATTCAAATTAGGAGATATGTGGATAAAAGTACTTTTGTGTGGATAAGAATGTATAGCATAGCTACCACATACAGTGGTGCATGGCTATAATCTCAGCACTTAAGAGTTTCAGGCAAAAGATCATGAGTTCAGCCTGGGCCACAAGGTGAGTCTGAGGCCCCTCTGGGTTACAAAGTGACACCCTGTCTCAAAAAGCATATAGAAAACCAAAATCACAAAATTAAAGCGTCCTCTAATAATTAATAGTAAAAAATATTTTTCAAGTATAAGTAGATGGCCATCAAGGAAATAGAATGATAAAGACCTATGAACAATTTAAAACTACAAAGAAAACTACAGAATATTAAGAGAACTGAATCTTTAATTGCTTAATTTCTTCCAGTTCACATACTGATAAAGTATTAGAAATAAAATTAAGTGTAACTTTAAAACAACTATTTTTAAAATTTGAAATAGTTCAAATTTAAGAAAATCATGTTTATGACCTCAAATTCTTGCTATCCTGTTCCTTTTCCATATAATGAAATCATAAAGCTTCTAATATTGTACCATAAAATGCAGCCATTAGGACCCTAATATTTACTAAACCATTTTATTTGACTGAGAATTATCCTAAGTCTGCTTATTAAAAGCCAAACCAACAGTGGTCTTCTACATGCAATAATTCCTATACAGAAGTTAGCAATACTGTGCAGTGGAAGGAAAATTCTTCTGAATGAGCCTTGCATTTGATCAGATTATAATTATAGGTTGTACAGTCAAACCAAAAAAGGGAAGAAAAGCTGTAACACAGAAGTCTACAGATTTGCATCATCGTTCTCAACACAGATCATTCAATGCCACCAACTCAACAAATTTCAAATCAGTGTTTTGATTTGTATAATTCACCCAATTAATGGGAGTAAGCAGCTCAGGCCCAGGTTGGCATAACATACATCACAATCAATAGAATCTCAAACTTCTGTCTTCAAATTCGCTTATTAAATTGCCACTTACATAGGTTTGAACATTTTCGTGACATTGTGTTTAGAGACTTGGCTCACTAACAACTCAGTCGTTGGCTCTGAGAAGCATCTGTTCACCAGTAGCAGCAGTAGCAGCAAGGTGATGCGGGATCTACAACCACTCAGAGAGCTATTCAATGTGGATCATCTTGATGTAATGTAATGAGAAGCCACAAAGAAAACATTTCTTCTCATTAATTTATATCCAGTATTCTCTTTTGAACAAGACTTCAAAGGTCTTGCCGTCTCTGCTTTGATGGTTTAACGAACTCTTAATGCTATCTATAATTTTAAATCCCTCAGTCTCCCAAGTGCCACGGGGTACTTCTCAATATACCGATTTCAGAACACTGGCTAGAAACTTTGAAACTGACTGAAAATAGCAAATCTTTTAGCATTAAAAAAAGGACAACAGAGAAACAAAAGAAACAAAAGGGGAAGTGTGTTTGCATTTGCTCAGGCAAGTATGTGTCCAGTTGCTTTATGAAAAATATAGCTGTTCCAGTTTTTAGAGCTATGCAAAAACACCAAGATTCATAAATAGCACCCAGATATGCTACTGGAGTTCTAAATGAGTTTCCTTCACTATCACGCAATGAATAACTGGCAGTGTGAAGTCACCATGATGTATTCAGCATTTCTCCAGGTCATCCAGGCCAGCTGAAAGGATGGTACATTATAAATCTAATCTTCATAGACATCTTTAATGTGCTGTCTCTATACAATCCTAGCACTGGCTTAAAAAAAACTGACTTAAGATAAGCAAAATTACTAGAGGGAAAAAAATCACTCTTTATTCCCAAAATTGATTCTGAAATGTTAGCCCCCCAAATTCTATCCTTATTAAATATTGCCTCTTTTCACTAATAAACAGGTACACTGTTCATCTTAATTTTCAGAACCTGCTTTTCTAGATATTAGATTCCAAAATCTAAAAGAGAACAAAAAATACTTAATTTTGCATTTTTAAATATTCATGTATTTCCTGGTAATTACTTTATATTTTATTTGTAAAGTGAACATAAACACACGAATGTGCAACAAACGATTAAATTTTTGCCCTGCTATGTAATGGCTAATTGGATTTTTCCACTAAAATTCAAATAATGCATGTGTGCATAGCTTGCTGATTTTTTACATCTGCCTTATAAAACATGCAGCGGCAGAGACCATCATGGAAACAATGACGCCCAGCAAAACTGTCTATCATAAAAATACAGATTTTTATCTACTGCTGTCACATTTGTGGTCTCGGGTTAAGCAGAATAAGGACATTCAAGCATCATTACTATAGGGTTCATAATCATCCACAGCTATTTAGCACTTTGATTTTAATTTAAAGATTTTCAAGAGCAGGCAAAGCTCGAAGTTTAATACTTTACCCCGACAATGAGACCTTTCCCTTTAAAAAAAGATAATGTCTAAAGCAGAGACAACAACATCTTTATGGGAAACACTGTTTAAACGTCTGAAAAACACAGCGGAAACAATGAATGCATTTCTGATTTTTCAAGATACAGTGAAGCACCGAGGTAGAAAATCACCTGAACAACCAAGGAGGGCATTCGAGAACCAACTGGAGAGCTCATTCAATGGCTGGTATCTGAAAAGAACGTTTTCCACAGAAAAAAACAAACAAAACAAAACAAAAACTGCAGTTCCGGAAGATGAAAACCCTTCCGCATGCAAGCCAGTTGAAATGTACAGATAGAAGCGTGATCCTCCAAAGATAACACAGCCTTTCTATCAGGAAAGTTACAGAGGAGAGATATAAATGAATAAGAGATGTACCGGAAGGGCACCTGAATTTGGTTGCACGATATCATTACATGCTTCGCACTGCTTTTTGCGGTTATTCAAAAGGAAACTAAAGGAATTTTCCAGTTGTTTCAAGCCAAAGGGTAGTGAAAATTTTGAACTGTATGAATAAGACCTGATATTACGTAGAAACTAGAGGAAAATTAAAGGCTTTTCAAAGATCAAAAGATTTGTTTTTCACTTTCACGCAGAATATCGAAACGAACAGAAATTGCAAGAGAACGCCGTGCTGTTCGCTCATGTAATAAAGGACCAGATACGAAACAGAGCGGACTCTCTCCGTTATTTATTCCCCGATCACACACTAGACTCCTAGATCTCCCTCTAACCAAGGCGCTGAATAAACTCGAAAAACTATCCTCCTTTCCAACACTTCGGCAGGTTCTTTTCAGCCAGAAAGTCGAGGGTCCCCCCACCGATTGTCCTTGGCCAAGCCTCTGGAATTCAGGAAAATATCATGGAACCACTTTCTTCCCACTCCTCCCTCCCCCAGGAGTTCGTCCACGAAGGATCTTACTCCAAAGCATCGCCTTATCCATCACTTTCACCCGATTCCCCTTGCCCAGGAGTTTTTCTTTTTCTCCCCCTCGTTCCGTAGGGCTCACCCTCATGCCATCTTAACCATTTTTTTCTCTTACACTTCAAAACTAGGAGTCACCCTCCTTACCCCTAAAATGATCGAAGCAACAGCATAGAGTTTTTTTAACACCCCCCCATCCCAGCTTTTCCCTCCTCTGATGTGAAGCCCCCTCCCCCGAAGTCCAGGCAGCCGCCTAGCGTGTCCCTCAGCGCACCCGAGGCACTAGGTCGCCAGCCTCTGCGGCGAGCACCAACAATGCGCGGCGCCTCTGGGGGTCCCTGACAATGAAGGAGACCACCGCGAGTCCCCCCGTAACAACGGGCAGGGGCGGCGGCCTGGCCACCGCCATCCTCCCCGTCTTCTCCCGCCACACAGAGAATGGGGGGCCCTTAGCTCCCGCGGGGAACTCACCAGCGTGGCCCACGGGCGGGCGACGGGAGAAGAGCGCCCACGAGGGGAGACGAGGAAGGCGGGCGTCGGTTCTCCGGCACTGCCGAAGAGCGGGGCTCTGTCGCCGGGGGTTGTTTCCTTTCATTCGAGGAGAGACGGGCTCGCCGAGCGCCCTTACGTTACCTCCCTCCGTACGCACACGACCCACAGGACGTTAAGACGTCTCGAGCGCGCCGGGGACTCTGATTGGCCACCGAGCCGGGGCGGTTGAAGCCGCCGAAGTAGAGCGCAAGCGCGCAGACCAGCCCCTCAAAAAGCTCGGGGCGGCGGCCCCGCCTCCGGCTCGCGCGCGTACCTTCTATTCTCCGTTCTGCCGCTCGGCTGAGGCTTTGGGGGCAGGATCAGAGGAGACCGAGAAAGATTTGAAGAGAAAGCTGGGCACTGGGAGGAGAAGGCGCTGGGTTGGGGCCAGAAAGCTGAGACCAGGTCTTGGGGAACCGGTTTTCCAGTGACTCAAATGCACAGGCCTTAGCCCTTGCACTTGTTCGTCGAGGCCTTTTTACATCCATTATTTCATTGTACTCTCCTGGTATCCCTGTGGGGTCCTCCTTTTGCCTGATTTCACTGCTAGCAAAGACAGAGCTTCCAGTGCAGGTTGCCCGTTTGCATGGCAATCCTCGGGCCAATCGTTATAATCACTCAACCTTATTTTTTTTCGTTTTTTGGTCTTGGAAATGAGAACGAAATACCTCCCAAGTTTATTGTGAGGAAGAATAAGGATGCAGCTGAAGCATGTATAGCTGGTTCTCTGTAAATGCTGGGGTTGTCATAATCAAAAAAGACGAGTGATTTTCTTTATAACCCACACAGATGAACCAAATACCTAAACTAGCACTCTTTTTAGGCATATTGGAGCCATATTCTGGACTGAATCTCAGCTCCCTCACTTCTAGCTTCATGACCTTGATCACCTCTGGTCCCTCAGACTTGTCAGTTCTAAAATAGAGACCGCAATGTTATCCCTCTCAAAAGATTGTGAGAAATGAGTTAACATATGCAAATCACAAGAGAATAAAGCCTGGGGACATAGTATACCTTATTATGATGGTCAACTTTTGTTATTTTCTGCTGGCCTCTTCGGGGGGGGGGGGGGGGGAACCATTTTTAAAAAGAAAAGAAAATATCACTAACAAACCAGGGAGCCTTTAAAGATATCTTTCATGTAGCTATTTTTCCTGCAATGGGAGTGGATTTACATTCTGGATCCAATGCTTTTTACATAGTGTTTCATCAATTTTTAATTTTTTCCTTTCAAGGTCAACCTTAGATTTCAACGCCCAAGAAAACAGTAACCATAGTGGTCTAAAATTGATTCATTCAAATGGAACCCAAGGAGGTCCTACAAATCAATCATTTAGCTTCAAGGAACCTTTCTCTAGCTCCTGCTCCGAGCCTTCTGTCTGTCCTGATTTCGGCAACTAGAGCTGTGCTTTTTATCACATCCCTCCCGTGCTCTGGAACTCTGATTCACTGCCTCTGCTCTAGGGCATCCGTGGCTTTGCTCTAGCTTGCCTTCACTCTTAAAAGATACATCTACTTCCACTGCCCTTTGCCTCCAGTTACTCTCCAGGGAGTGACTAGAGATTTGCATAAGAAGATCCACAATATGTATTCCATTTAAACTGTATGTAAATCATAGGTCCTCCACCAAGTTTTACAGGATTATTGATGCCACAATGACACAGATGAATATATAAGAGAAAATGCAGTGGCTAAACAATGTGTAGTCTTTTTAGTTGACACCCCAGCCCATATTTTACTGCCTTTAATTCATTGTTTCATTCATGCACTTATTTGAACAAAGTTTAAGTCAATAAAAGCTTGCAAAACTAAGTTCCAAACTGAGAGGAAACGAAAATGAATCCAATGCAAACCCATCGAGTTCAGGGTGAAAATACTGAGACCATCAAGTAAACCAATACAGTATGGTGTGATAAAGGTGCATGCCTGAGGCAGACATCCACTACCTGATGCGTACAAAGCACTGTGGTAAGGTACAACACAATAATGAATAAGACACAGCTTTTCCTTCCCACTGATTATAGTCTAGGAAGGAAAAGACAAATGGCTACAACAGAAGATGTTAGCAGTGAGTATCTTAGACGGCGAGATGGGAATGCAGAGTTCCAAAGGCAGTTATCAGTGGATTCAGTTATTGTCGGGACCGGGTCTGGTAACCAGGCCCGATTAGCATGACAGGTGCAGCCTGTTATTTCCCGTTAGTGCCTGGGGGTATAGCATAGGCCCTACTGATCTCATATTGATTCACCAGTACACTCCCGCCAACACTCTCCTGGTCTTCTTCAGGCTTGGTTACTGCTTCTTTTTTGTTCTTCATAGTCAGCAAAGGCCCCAGCTTCATGACTTACTTTTAAAAGGACGGACTGAGCTATAAGATCTGGTACAGCCATCCTCTTACGCTTCCAGGAAGACTGACAGAGCTGTCTGTCCTGATTCCAGCAACCAGAGCTGTGCTTTGCACCACCTCTCCCGTGCTCTGGAAGCCCCGATTCACTGACTCTGCTCTGGAGCACCAGTGACTTTGCTCTAGCTTGCCTTTACTCTTAAGAGATTCACCTGCTTTCACTGCCCTTTGCCTCCCGATACTCTCTCGTCATTTATTCAACAGGCATCACAGATCGCTTCTGAACGGCAAGTTGGATGGCAGATGCTAGAGTTTTGAAAGGGAACATGACATAGTTCCTAATTAAAACAGCAAGCTGAGGCTGGGTGTGATGGTGCTCACCTGCAACCCATGCTCTCCAGATTTCGAGGCGGGAGGACCTTGAGATTTCCAAGCTAGCTTTGGCTACACAGCAAGACCCTGACTCAAAAAATAAATAACGTGTGACTGGAGAGATGGCTCAGAAGTTAAGAGCACTTGCTGCTCTGTCAGAGGACCTGAGTTCAGTTCCTAGCACCCACATGGTGGCTCACAACCACCTGTAACTCCAGTTTCAGGGGATCCAGTGCCCTCTTCTCACCTCCAAAGGTACTAGGCATGTACATGGTGCACAGATAAGCATTCAGGCCAAATACTCCTATACATTAAATAAAAATGAATACATTTTAAAAAATAAATCAAAGAAAAACTCCACCAACCCACTAAGTTATAAAAATCAAATATATAAAATATTTTTAGGTATTTCTAAATAAAACTGAGGGAATGAAAGATGAAAATGAAGAAAGACACAGATCCCGCCCTCAAGGGGTTCTCAATCTAAAAGATGGAGTGAGTCCACTCATTGGGTTTCAGTGTAATAGGTGAACTTCTCTAACATAATCACACACCCCGAGGATTTTTGGACTCTGCCCAGAAAAACTAGGAAGTACATCCCCGAGAGGCACTCCTTTGATCTGGATCTTCAAGGACAGGTCAAGTATCCATAAAAGTCTGCATTCTGTTGTCATGCATTTACTAAAAATATGCTCAAAGTCCATGATGCATCTTTTTCCCCATTTCTTGACTTTTTTCTTTCCGTATTGGTGACATTGTACACTTTGGGCCATCTACTTGACTTGAGACTTCCATCTTTTGTTATTTTTTTTAAAAGATTCATTTATTTTTATTGTATGTGTATGGGTGTTTTGCCTATTTGTATGTATTGTACAGCACCTGTGTGCTTGATGCCTACAGATGCCAGACAAGGTTATTGGACTCCCTGAAACTGGACTTACAGGTGGTTGTAAGCTCCCCTTTGGGGGCTGGGATCTGAACACTTGCCTCTGCAAGAGCAGCACGTGCTCATAACCACTGAGCCATCTCTCCAGTCCTGAATCTTCTTCCATCGTCCTTAGCTCAAAACAACAGTTCCCTAGGTCTGTCACTCTGACTGCTGCGTTGGCTTCTTCTTCTAAGGTTTCCGCCTTTTCACTTTATGACATAAGGCAGAATTTTCCCGAGACAGTCATATCCTGTCCTGGTCTGTTGTTGCTCTTCCATGCCCAGCAGTTCTCAAGCCATGGAAATGAGACCTTGGGAGCCTGCTAAAAATACAGTGGTTTTTATTTGCGTGTTTGTTTTGTACCATCTCCTCAGGATGTTACTAGTGTGGGTCTAGATACATGCCTCCTTAAACTTCTCAGGGCTTCTGCCTTACATCCGCTGAGGCTCACAGGGAGGAAACTCACAGTTAAGAAATCTTTCATTTTTCGTTCAGGAGAATTGGTATAATGTTTTGACTGTAATCTAAATGTGTCTATGTACCTATGCGCATCTGGCTGTAATCGACACTGGTGGACCACTCATTTGTTCGGACACACCAATTGCCTCCTACTTGTTAGATTGAAAGGGGACTTGGAAGGTACATTCTGGTGTAGTGGGGGAGACAACACTGAGGACATAAAGAAATGTGAACTTTCACCCATGACAGAAGTGTCACCTCTTTTATTGAGGTTTAATTTAAATAGAACTTGAAATAAAACTGAAACTTGAGGTAAAACTAACATCTATTTGCATTTTTGTGATGCCAGGGGTTGTTTGTTCTCCCACCAAGCTGCACCCCTCCCATCTAGTTGTGGTTTCACACCAAACATTTCTAGATTTCTCATTTTTCTCAAGACAGGGTTTCTCTGTGTAGCCCTGGCTGTCCTTGAACTACCTCTGTAGACCAGGCTGGCCTCGAACTCATAGAGATCTGCCTGCCTCCGTCTCCCGAGTGCTGGGATTAAAGGTATGCACCACCACTACCCAGCCATTTCTTCATTTTTTAACTTTAAAGTGCCTGGGTTAAATACTGTAGATGTCCCTGTGAGCAAACATGCAATTTCTCTCTATGAGATGTGGTATAAGAGAAAAGGAGCCTGAATTTGAATCATTGTTGTGAAGCTAATTACCAAAGAAAGCTTGGGCAATTTCTGACCATTCTGAGCTTAATTTCTGCATCAGTCAAAAGAGAAATATCATTTGCAGGGTTTCTATGGGGGGTACAAAGGCAGATAATAATTTAGATAATGTCTCTTCTCCAACAAAAATGACAGTTTGTAGTGCTTCACGGCTGACATAGCATCTAGTTTATTTCCCCACTAGTGTTAGCACCCAAGCATTCTGCAACTGTGATTTCCTTAGTTTTTGTTGTTCATTTTTTTTTTTTTTTTTTTTGGTTTTTTGAGACAGGGTTTCTCTGTGTAGCT